CCCCCTGCTTATGTTCCCTCTCTCGCTGCATCTCTCTCTGTCAAATAAATAAATACAATCTTTAAAAAATAAAAACATTCTTGTGTTTATTTTTAAGTTTAGCTTTCTAGGGGGTTGCCCTGTGTCTGCATAGCTTAGTGGTGCTAAGAAACCCCAACCAGTCAGATTTCTGCCCTTTGCTGATGGATCTGTTTTAGATGGGGAGTGAATTCAGTGTTTGGGCTGTTTTCAAGTCTGTCCTGGCTTTTACTTTTTGCTGAACCCCTTTTAATTTCCTGTGCACGTGCATGCAGCCTCAGAGTTGGCCAGGAGTGTACAGCTTGGACCCTCCCTGGTCTCTGCTATGCATGTGCACAGCCTCTGATCATCCCCAAATCTGCATTTTCCAACCAGAACGCAGGGTCAGGCTAGTAGAGCTGTCAGCTGTCCCTGCTTGCATAGCAATGAGATCATTGATAAAAATGTTGGGTATTGGTATCACTCCAAATTGAGTGAACAACCCCTTCAGCCACAGCAACCTGCTGGCCCACACGTTCTCTTTTGCTCTGGCAGAACCTCCACAGTGACTGAGCTGGGGAAGGAGGAGGGTGGGAGCAGCTCCAGGCAAAAATGCCACAGTCTCCCACGGTCCCTGCACAAAGTCTGCAGTTGTCCAAACATAAACACATCTCAGATTGTTGTATGCTTTTGGCCAGTTTCCAGAGCAGCAAAGTTGTTTGGTCAATTTTTTTTTTCAGCATAATAGTTGCTTTTTTGAGGAGAGGATTTGCTGACCTCCTTCCTGGGCTATAGGTGGAAGTGCTACCCAAAGCATCTGAGACTTGAAGTATGTTTTGAATAATTGGAGGAGAAGTTGAAACTTGAAAAAGATAAATGCCTCAATTGGAAAAGGATTGCACTCCTACCAAAATTATCTAAATAGCCCACGGCAAACTGGTGATCCAATTGTTTAAAATGGTTACGACTGATAATGGGAACAGGAGGTATGTGCTGTGTCTCCCTTCTGTCTTCTGCTGGTAGTTCTGTATTCTTTCACGCTCTACTCTTCACGAACTATCCTTGTATTCATCGACACTAACTTCCTTTAGTCCTTTGAGATTAGACGGTCATTGGTTACCTAGCGGTCACAACAGTTCAAACTCCACAGTATGCCATCTTAGTTTGGTCTTTACAGCGATGTCTGTGTAGTTGTTTAGTATCACATCTTACCTGGTTAGGCAAAATGTCTGGGAACTGGAAAAATGAAAATCCCACAGCTAATGATAAGAACTTATATTCTAAGAATTTGAAACAGGAATCCATAGATCATTGATCTAAGGTCAGTGATAGGCTCACCTGTGAAGGGTCAGAACGCAGAATAATAGCACTAGTCTGGTTGTGGGTAGGGGGGTGTATGGTAAAGAAGGCATGGAGTCCTGGAGGCCTGGAGACTTATTCTTGTGGGGGTGGGGTAGGTTGTGTTGCATTTTAGTGGATATTTGCATTTTCATAGGCCTGTGGTTGTGTGGTGTTTTTCATATTGAATACCATGTTTGTCTTCACCATCTCACATGAGCTACAATTGTCCTGTTATTAGACTGTAAAGTTTTGTTTCTTGCTGACACCTTCAGTGAGTTCGTTGTCAAATGCCACAATCAAGCTTACATGTTGTCACACTCTACGTGTCTCATATAGAAGGTCTTTTCTCAGGAAAATCAAAGTTCTCTTTTATGTGTGTATTTTATAAAAAGGGATAGATTGGTTGCTACCACAAAACATCAATTTCTCTAAGATTTTACTCTCATCAAATTTGTTGTTTGACATATAGTTAGCCTTTTTATTGTCTTTCATAAAAACAATTAATTACCAGTATCTTCCTCCAACTGCCCCAAAGGTGCATATCCTTACTGGGGCTAAGTAACTCTTATTTATTTGTTTTGTTTTTGTTTTGATTTATTTACTTATATATTAAAGAGAGAGAGCACACTGGGGGAGAAGCAGAAGGAGAGGGATATCCAGACTTTGCGCTAAGTTAGGAGCCTGATGTGGGGCTGGATCCCACGACCCTGAGATCATGACCTGAGCCGAAATCAAGAGTCAGACGTTCAACTGATTGAGCCACCCAGGTGCCCTATTTATTTATTTTTAATTTTTAAAATTATTATTATTATTTTTAAAGATTTTATTTATTTATTTGAGAGAGAGAATGAGAGAGAGAGAGCATGAGAGGGGGGAGGGTCAGAGGGAGAAGCAGACCCCCTGCTAAGCAAGGAGCCCAACATGGGACTCGATCCCGGGACTCCAGGATCATGACCTGAGCCGAAGGCAGTCGCTTAACCAACTGAGCCACCCAGGCACCCTTAATTATTTTTTTTAATGAGTGGAATATGTTACTTTATTCTTTCTTTGTAATTATTTTCTTTTTAAAGACAATTCTTTAGAACAGAGGAAAACAAAGTCCGGCTGAACAACATGGGTTTGAACAGGTGCACATATGTGTGGGTTTTTTACAGTTCAGTACCTTACATGTATTTTCTCTTACAACTCTCTTAATAACATTTTCTTTTCTCTAGCTTATTTTACTGTAAGAATATAATATATAATACATGTAACATGCAAAATATGTGTTAATCAACTGTTTATATGTTATGGTACGGCTTTCGGTCAACAATAGGCTATTAGTAGTTAAGTTTTGGTGAGTCAAAAGTTATACGTGGATTTTTGACTGCATGGGGGTTGATGTCCCGAACCCCTGCATTGCTCAAGGGTCAACTATACTTGGGTAATAAATGTAATGTCAAACCTAGAAGCCACCAAATTGGGAACTAATTTGTAGTTGTTATGTTTCCTTCTGAATAAGAAAATATTCTTTTTCGGGCACCTGGGTGGCTCAGATGGTTGAGCGTCTGCCTTCGGCTCGGGTCATGATCTCAGGGTCCTGGGATCGAGTCCTGCATCGGACTCCCTGCTCCTTGGGAGCCTGCTCCTCCCTCTGCCTCTCTCTCTCTCTCTCATGAATAAATAAATAAAATCTTTAAAAAAAAAAAAAAGAAAATATTCTTTTTCTTTCTTCTCTAGGGTTTCCCGAATGATTTCTGGCACCTAGAATATTACAACCCTGCATTGAACAATTAATGAAACTAGTAGATAGGTTGCAATTAGCTTAATATTTCACTTCTGAGGCCCCTTGGCTAAAGTATATATTGGTAGCTGGTGAGAGGCCACACCCGGAACTTGGCATTACCTGAGAGGCTGCAGCATGAAGAACAGCATTATTTCAGTGATACTTCTGCGAAAGATGTAGGACACCAATCTGATCAGGAAGAAACACCAGACAAATCCTAATGGAAGCACATTGTATAAAATAGCTTTCCTGCAACCCTCAAAAATATGAAAGTCGTAAAGGTCAAGTCAAGGGAGAACTGAGGGATTGTGCCGGATTGAAGGAAACTGAAGAAACAAGTACAATCTGTGCTCCTGGTTTGAACCCTTTTGCCAAGAAGGACGTTGAGACAGGTGCTGAAATTTGAATGGGATCTCTGAGTGAGGGGAGTATGGAAATTTTTCTACTGTTGTTGCAACTTTTCTATAAATTTGAAATATATATATATATTTTAAGATTTTATTTATTTATTTGACAGAGATAGTGAGAGAGGGAACACAAGCAGGGGGAGTGGGAGAGAGAGAAGCAGGCTTCCCGCGGAGCAGGGAGCCCGATGCGGGGCTCGATCCCAGGACCCTGGGATTATGACCTGAGCTGAAGGCAGACGCTTAACGACTGAGCCACCCAGGTGCCCCGAAGTATATTTTTTTAAATATGTCTCCCCCCTCACTTTGCAGACTTAAATTTTTCTTCTTTATTAAAGATTTTTATTTATTTGGCAGAGAGAGCACAAGCAGGGGGAGCGGCAAGCAGAGGGAGAGGGAGAAGCAGGCTTCCCGCGGAGCAGAGAGCCCGACATGGGACTCGATCCCAGGATCCTGGGATCATGACCTGAGCCGAAGGCAGATGATTAACTGACTGAGCCACCCAGGCGTCCTAAACATTGGGTTTCTTATTGAAGGGTTTGTGTTCTAAATCTGCCACTATTACTTTCTCCAACTAGTGACCTCTTGTTTTTAATGAGGATTTTGCTACCTCATAACAGGTTGTAAGGGTCAGATGAAATAATTTCTCCAATCACACTTTTGGCAATCAATAAAATGAAGATGAGCCATTAAGGAGGAGAATCCTGGCAAGAGGGTAACAGCGTAAGAATTGTCCAGAGGGCCCTAGAAGAAGGATGTGTGACGGAAGCTCTAAACAGTAATGTGTTAGGCCTCCACCGCCTGCTCAAGCCCAACCGGGAAGAGAAACGGACCACAGCTCCTAACCCTCAGGCTCTGGCTGGCTTAATCATTTGCTGTCCACCTTCTCAGGTCCTTCCTTACGGCATAGGGAGGGCCTGTGCAAAAAGAATTTGACTAGTGGCCAGTTTTCGTTGTAGCCCTGCAGACATAGATTTACCTTCCAGATATTTTAAGTCTGATCCCTTTGCCTCACAGGTGAGAAAAATTGAGGCCAAGTGAAATTAGATTGTTTGCCCATGTAGTAAATGCCAGTAGCAAAGTTAGTGCTCAGGGTTTGGTCCATCCTGGTGCAATTCTACATCACCTTATTGTCACTATTAGTCTTGTCTTCCCCAGAGAGACTGACAGATCCCTGAGGGAATACACTCTATCTTAGACATTACTTCCTGAATTCCTTAAGAGACTCAGCAGAGAACTGTGGACACAATAGGTATCTGGAAAATCCATGAGGACATGAATTAAAAAATGATCACTATTCTTGATTTATTGTTGTTGCTAAGAAAGAGGGAGTATGGGAAGCTCAACAGGTGGCCAGTTGGGTGGCTTTCTTCTAGGAAGATGCTGGTGCTTGGACTGGAAAGCACAGTGGAACCCAGAACACACCATATACTCGGTCAATTTCCCAAAAGTCCGTGTCTGACAGATTTAAAAATGAGCGAAGACACGGGAAGTCTTCCGAAGGTGCAGCTTTTGGTTTTATTTCAACGGGTTGCTAGTATACAAAAGTAAAAGGTACATTCCTTTAAAAACCTAAACCAACCACCAACCCAAACCCATAGCTGGTAATTCAATTGTTCAGGAAAGGGGGGAGCCCCGGGCTCATCTACATAACACGACATTTTGCTCCAGGTGCAATATGCAGCCCTCGGGTGAGGCCCTGTCTCCACACTAACACAGCTCCGGTCTCCGGTGGCTTGCTGGCTTCCCATGCCTTGGCTGGGCTGGGACTTTCTCAACCCCAAAGGTAGAAAATCAAAATCACAGATTCTTTCTGGATATTTTGACCTGGCCCTTTAAGTGACATCTTGAAGACAGCTAAACTCAAACTCAGACTCATATAAACGTGAATCTGGGAAGAAAGGCTGGCCCAAAGAGAGGAGGGTCAGACCCCCGCTTGCCCCATCAGTGACCCCGCGAATGCCCTGGCAGACTGAAATGGAAGCAAAGAAGGGGATCGAATGTGCATGACCTGATGTCAAGTCCTGGCTAAAATCGTCCCCAGCCGTGTGTTTTTATGAGGGTCATTTACCCTCCTGAAGCCCTGGCTCCCTCCCTCTGTCATCTCCTGCCTTCTCAAGGCAGACTGGTCCATCCGCCAGCATGGTGCAGGAGCTAATGCGACTGAATCCGAAGTGCTGCACAGGAGGGGCGAGGTGGTTTGAGGAGGCAGAGGAGGAGGACCGGAAAAGGAAAGAAAGTAGAATGAGAGAAAGGTAGGGTGGAGAGACGGAGCCAACACAGTACAAGGGGCGTGGACACCCCTTCTGGGCTAGGGTCGGGCTTCGGTGATGGTATTAGTGGGTGGGTCCTCTTAACTACACAGAGCGGAGAGCTGCTCATTAGAGCTGACCTGGAGCCAGTCACTGGGAAAGAAAATCGATACTCAGACTCACTACTATGAAGCTACCCTTCACATGGCTTTCATCACAGGATCACTTGAAAAGCCTCTGTCGCCTCTCTGGGCAGGAGACAGGCTGCTGAAGGGGCTCCCAGCCTGGCCCTGGAAGAGGTCACGTCTTCACACTTCCTCAAGCCACAGAAAACTTGAACCAAGTGGTGTGGTCATACTCGTCCCCAGGCCTCAGCAGCACAGGAGGGAAGTGGGGCTGTGAAGGGAAAAAGAGGACAGGTTACACTTGCCAGCCCAGCTGCACCCTTCACCATTCAGGATGGCTCTGGACTGGTCTCTAGAACCAGCTGCCAGGGTAACAAGTGTTTACTATTGGTTTGCACTGAGAGAGAACTCGAGCCACGTCACTGAGCACGTTGTCACAGCAGGACTTTCCCGATGAAGGAGGCCGTGTATCAATTTACATTCCAGTGCAAGCTGCAGAGCTGGTGCTTTGGGCAGCACTACTCTAGGCAGCAGCTAGAAAAAGAAGTCATCAGTAAGCAAATAGGAAGAGAAGATGGGATCATTTTAAAAGTGTGGTTGCAGGGGGCGCCTGGGTGGCTCAGTCAGTTAGGTGTCTGACTCTCGGTTTTGGCTCAGGTCATGATTCCAGGGTTGTGAGATCGAGCCCTGTGTCGGGCTCCGTGCTGCTTAGGATTCCCCTTCTCCCTCCCCTTCTGCACCCCACCCCTCAAAAAAGTATGGTTGCAGAAGATGAGCAGGTATTGATAAGGGGCAACCTTGAACTGAATAAAGGCTTTGAAGGCACAAAATAGATTAAAAAAATACATAAATGCTATGTTAGTAACTTGGCTAACGGTTTCCTTATCATGACTGGGAGAAGAGAACCCTGTGGACTTGTGATTCACACAGACCTGAGTGTCGTGACCTCTGTCATACAGTGTGACCTTGGGCACAACACCACTGAGAAGCCGGGCTGGAGCTTTACCTGATTGACGGCATCAGGCCAGTTCTGGGTCTCGAGGCAGAAACCAGAGTGCTTGGGATAGACTGCTCCACCCTTGCCCTTCAGAGCGCCATCCAGGAAGTTGCCTGTGTAAAACTGGACCCCAGGCTGGGTTGTGTACACTTCCAGTAGCCGCCCGCTTCCAGCATGCCGGACCCTGGGGGTAAAGCAGACCACATCGGTACATCGGTATGGGATGCAGAGGCCGGCAGGGACCGGGCGAAGCTGGGAAGCAGCCTCTGAGCCAGTAAGCAGGCCCAGCCACAGAGCAGGGACAGATACAAGGAGACAAAGATGAGAAGAGCATGATGGGAAATTCTCATAGTCTCCTGGGTGAGGCGTGAGCAGGTGGTTCTGAGGATCCTCCAATGGCCACTTCTCCCTGTGATCTTGGCTTCTCTGAGGAAGGCTCACCCCAGGTGTGTGTGTGTGTCTCAGGGGCAGCCAGGTTGAAGAGACACAGTTTTCAGGTTCTGGAGGGGCTGAGAGTCTTTCTCATAAAGAGTTGGAGCTCTCTGCTTGGCCTGGCAAAGCCACCAGCTATGTCTTGAAAGAGAAGAGATGCTTCTCTAAATTAAACCATCCCCCTTCCCTGGGGCTCGAGCAGGTGGCGCTTTTTAGTCAGATGTCCCCTGAGAACAGATGTACTGTCAGTTTTTGCTAGATTCACTGTTTCCTTTAAAAAAAACAAACAAATCCCCCCCCCCAAAAAAAACCAGGCCTCTACAGAGCTGAGGGTACCTACCCGCTCCCATACTTGGTGTTGAAGGGATATGGATAAAGAAAAGCCTCAGTCTTCCCCTCTTACTGAGAGGTAAAACATCCCAGCAGTGTATGGTCCACGAAGAGGTTCAGGGAAAGATGTTTGGGAAGAGGAGGGCCAGGATTTGAAGAGTGGAGAGAGGCCGGAGAGTCTCCTTGAGGTGGGTGCAGGAGAGAGAGAAATGTGAGCACTAGGCAAGAGGAGAATGGCAGAATCCAGCTGGAAGAACACAGGGACTGGGGCTCTGAGGGAGAGAAGGCTTTTGAAGTTTCTCTTGGAGTTTGAATCACTTTCTGTGCTTTATTCAAATTCATTTATTCTACAGACATTATTTGCTGGTGCCAAGCACGGTGTTAGGCACTAGGGCGGGGAGGGGGGACTCAGGGAGACGAGATGGTGCGAGGAATCAGAATTTAGTGAGGAGGAGGGAGAGTGCACACAAATGCCGCTGAAACAAGGCTGCTGGTGGTGCTGGTGGTGCTGGTGGTGGGTGCTCTGGGGAGAAGGGCAGCCTCTGACGCTCCATGGAACTAGACAGGGCACGAATCACATGTGAACAAAGTACAAAGGGCTCCAGAAGTTCAAGGAAAGCAGAGGTGACTTCAGTCCGGAGGAATCAGGCCTTCTAAAACCAGTGGGCCTTAAAGAACAGGCACAGATGGGGAGAGAGGCAGCGAAGAGAAACAGGCTGCCAGGTAGGAGCCCAGGGCTAATGGCCTGATGCGGGAGGGGGAGCAGCTCCGGCTCCCTGGAAGAGGAGCTTTGAAAAGTCAGGGGATGTGTATGCGGTCCCTGCAGCAGAGTAAATGCTACTGATCCGGCCAGAGAAAAAGCTCCTCATATAGGACGTGGCATCTCTTCTTCCCCACAGAGGCAGCAAGTGAAAAGGGCCTACCGTGCACAAAAGTGCTTTTCTTTAGATCCCTTCAGACAGAAATTGTGGTCGAAGCCATTGATATGGAAGTCCTGCAGGTGTTTTCCAAGCTCGACTGGCTTCCGCAGGTCAAAGGCAGTTCCTTGTACTGGAGCAACTTCTCCTGGTGGGAAGAGGCAGATAAAAAGGCAGCAGGGGGGCACCTGGGTGGCTCAGTCGGTTAAGCGGCTGCCTTCGGCTCAGGTCATGATCCCAGGGTCCTGGGATCGAGTCCCGCATCGGGGCTCCCTGCTCTGCGGGGAACCTGCTTCTTCCTCTCCCTCTGCCTACTTGTGTTCTCTCTCTATCTCTCTGTCAAATAAATAAATAAAATCTTTAAAAAAAAAAAAAAAGGCAGCAGGCTGGAGCACTCTGGCCAGGCTTTCTTGAAAGAGGAGAGGGATTCTACTTCAGAGCTTTACACCATGATCCAGTTTAGTTTCTGTCTTTATTTTTAAAAAAAAATTTTTTTTTTCTAATTTGAGCATAGTTAACACACAATATTGCATTAGTTTTAGGTGTGCAACGTAGTGATTCAGCTTCTCTCTACATTATGCTGTGCTCTCCATGAGTGGGACCCCCGTCTATCACCAGGCAACTCTTACAGTACCACTGACTATATTCCTTGTGCTGTGCCTTTTATTCCTGCGACTTATTCATTCCATAACCGGAAGCCCAGTTTATTTTCTTTAAAAGTCTTCTTTGTCCTAGAATAGTGTCACATATTTAAACGTGGACACAAATACTAGTTAGTTAACATACTCTTTTAGGGTTGGAACTACTTTTGCTGGGGCGTCTGGGTGGCTCAGTTGTTAAGCGTCTGCCTTCGGCCCAGGTCATGATCCCGGGGTCCTGGGATCGAGCCCCGCATCGGGCTCCCTGCTCCGCGGGAAGCCTGCTTCTCCCTCTCCCACTCCCCCTGCTTGTGTTCCTGCTCCTGCTGTGTCTCTCTCTGTCAAATAAATAAGTAAATAAATAAATATTAAAAGAAAAAAAAACTACTTTTGCCTTTCATGTGGTCAGATGGAGATGTTGTAGGAACTTGGTTTCTGTGCTATTTTTAGAGGAGAGAGAGGTAGCATGCAAAGTGGGTCTGAAATCTTAGGAGGCTGAGAAAAATCAGGAACTTGTACCTTACCACTGAAAGATTTAAACAAGTAAAAGGAGAACCAACTTTAGCTGTTCAAAACGTTGAGTTCTGCTTTTGTGTGTTCCTAAATACTAAGAGGAAACACGAATCTCCTATCTTTGGGCGAAAGATGGCATCCTTTTCTTAAACTCGGAGCTCCTGTTCAGAAACATGGTCTTCCTAGTATGTGAGGACTAGAGTCTGTGAGTTCACACAGAGCTGCGGGGATGCCTGAGGTCCAAAGCACCCAAGGGGGACCCAGAGGCCTGGCCAATACCATCCTAGCATCCGATGCCCACTATTTGACCAAAGGAGTTTGGGAAGCACACAGAAGAATCCTTCTCTTACCAGAGTCAGCTCTAGGAAAAATTAAGTTGCATTCTTTTTGAAAACACCCCTTAAAAACCATCTATTTCCTTTGCCCGGTTCTGCTTGTACGAAAAAGAATTTTTGAATGGGTAATATTTGCACATGTAATCAATTTATTTATTATTTATTTATTTAAAAAAGGTTTTACTTATATGAGAGAGAGTGCGAGAGAGAGAGCATGAGAGGGGCGACAGTCAGAGGGAGAAGCAGACTCCCTCTGCTTCTCCTGGGGAGCCCGAGGCAGGACTCCATCCTGGGACCCCAGGATCACGACCTGAGCCAAAGGCAGACACTCAACTGACTGAGCCACCCAGGTGCCCACATGTAAACAATTTAAAAGGTAACAAATGTAAAAGATACAAAATACTATAAATCAAAACAATCTCTCTCATCTTTGTTCCCCACAGATCCAATTTCCTTCAACAGAAGCAACCGCTGTTGCTTGTTCCTGACCCAACCTTCCAGAGATGTTACAAGGATATCGAAGTATGTTAACGCAGACCCATGCACACACACACAAAGATAGAGCCTATTTCCACCTTGATCTTTTTATTCAATTTGTCTTGGAGGTTGTTCCTAAATTTATTCCTATGTATTTCATTGGACAACTCTATATGCACTCATATTTCTATTTTTTCTATGATAATCTGTCAATTTAAAATTTCTTTTCTGGTGTCATAATTGCAAATTTACATTTTTCTAGAAACAGGTGCATTCCGTCTATATTACTCTCACTTATTTGTAGAGTTGAGGAAGACAGTAACTTATGATTCTTTCAATTTCATCTGTCTGTGGTTATTGGCCTGTGCTCATTTCTAACTTTGTGCATTGAATAGGTTAGCTAATGCTTTATCTATTTTATTTTTCCCCCCTCCAATGAAGCAGCTCTTGGATTTATGTATTAGTACTACATTTTTCCTCCTCTTTTCAAAATAATAACTTCTGCTTTTATTTGTATTAATTTTTCTTTTGTTTTCTTGGGTTTATTTTGTTATTTTTCAAATATCTTGCATTAGATGCCTAATTAATTTATTTTCACATTTTTTTGGATTAATATAAGTAGTGCTACAATGTTCTTCTGAGCAATAGGCTTTATAACACATATAGGAATTTCTGTTATATATAATTGTAACATCATATTTCCATTTATTATATGTTCCAATATGTATTATGTATATATTTCCATTATATGTAATTATATATTATTTACCTATTTTCTAGATGTTACTAGTTTTGGGGTTTGAATTCCCTTTTGATCCAAGAATTATTAAGAGTTAAAACATTTCTAGGTCAGTATTGGCTGTCTTACTCCTATTTTGTGAAACTACCTGAAGTTTTCTTTATGCTCTCTGATATGGTGAACTCTCACTGTAAATTGCATCCTTTATCATTACAGGGTACCCTCCTTTATGTAATCTAATGTTTTCTGTCCTGAAATCAGCCTTTACTGATATCAAGATTGAGACTCCTGCCACTTGGGCTTTCATTTGCTTGGTTTGCTTTGAAATCTCATATTTTTAACCTTTCTGTAAGACTTGGTTGCACACAGCATTCTGATGGGTTTTGCTTTGTGATTCAATCTGAGAGACTTTGTTTCATAGAGGTATTTTATGGCATTACTATGACATATGTATGTTTTAAGTATTCTTAGCTCTGTCATTACATTTTATGGTGTGCTTTCTGTGTTTATGAATTTTTGTTGTTGCTTGCTTTTTAAAATCTTTTACTATATGGTCTGTGTGTGTGTGTGTGTGTGCCTTATAAGTTTGAAAGTTTGTAATTTTGTTTTAGTGGTTACATCTACATATAAGTAACTTCAATATAATATACTTAATCCTCTGTTCCTCAGAATCTGCTAAGCTTTTCCTTTCTTACCCTTTCTCCTTTCTCTTTGCTACCTGACTTGGGTTTCTGATGCTTTCAACTGTTAAGAATCCTAATAAAGGCACTCTTGTTTCCCAGTAGATGGTGCTAGAGACACAATATAAGGAGCTTGCTTTATAAACATCCACCTCTGAATTCAGAGTCAGCCCTCTAAAACCTGATCAGTTCTAGGAGAATGAAGAGTTGAAGTTTTTGGGTCCCTCAGGCCAAAGGCCAAATCCTGGATGGTAATGATCACCTGGGTGCTACTGTCTTGTGAAGTCTGGGTGACCAAGCACCTCCCACACTGATTTATAAAAAGGTAAAATGTTTCCTTATGAAACAATTAGTCTGGGAAAAAGCAGCAGCTATTTTCATGGGCTTAAGAAGATTTTTGTCTTACCAACCCATATTCTGAGTATCAGTTTATGTTATGCTTTTTTCCCTAACCTTATATGGTATTCACAATATTTAGTTCCTTAAAGTCATGCTTGACTCAAAATCTGACCCTTATGACAGTTCCAATGTGATATTGCACAAGTCAGTCAAGATTACTTGTTTCTCTTGACTTTAAGGTAAAAAGAAAGTCATGGAATTTTCATGAAGGAGGGAGCCAGGGCATATTTCAGGTCTGTTTACCTGATCCTGAGCAATCTACAAATCAAGGTTTATGTTAACTTTTCTCTTTGTAAAATGAAGCTATTATTTGCTGCCTTATACATTACATGGAAATATTTGATAAATGATAAACGGTTTCTGGAGGGTTGCATAAATAAACAGGCCAAATTTCAGGATAACATATGTAACACAAAGGAGAGCCTAGAGGGGGTAAGACTTCAGAATGGCAGAGAAGCCCTGACTTAAAAATGAGAAACTTGGGATAATTCCAAAATGAGATGTTAGCTAAATGAGAAGAAAAAAAGAGAGACGGTTCCAATCTACCTTGTTCCAGCCTCATGCTCTGACACATGTACCTAATCATCGGGCAGATGGAAAACTTGGAATTGGTCCCCCAGATTCACTATGTCTTTGGGCCCTTTCTCATAACTGGAATGTCCTCTCTGGGCCTACCTCCACCACACCCTGGCAACGTTGTTTAAGAATACTTACTCTCCAGGGGCACCTGGGTGGCTCAGTCGTTGAGCGTCTGCCTTCGGCTCGGGTCATGATCCCTGGGTCCTGGGATCGAGCCCCGCATCGGGCTCCCTGCTCCGCGGGAAGCCTGCTTCTCCCTCTCCCACTCCCCCTGCTTGTGTTCCCTCTCTTGCTGTGTCTCTCTCTGTCAAATAAATAAAATCTTTAAAAAAAAAAAAAAAAGAATACTCTCCAATGTCATTTCCTCTGTGAAGGACTGTAGCCACCACAACTAGAACTAATCTCCTTTTCTACTTGGTTCCTACCACACCTTGAACATACTTTCTTCAAAACATTGATCACATTAGGCATAATTATAGGACTATATCAAGCTCCTAGAGGGCAGGGATTGTGTCCTTTTTACCTTTGTACCCTCTGAGCATGAAGTGAGCGAGCCTTTACTTGATTGAAAAACTGACGTATGTATGAAGTAGAGGCTGAAAAAACAGGGACAACTGTGCATGTTGGTACATCCTGTGGCAAAGTCAGAATGAAAGATCTAGAAAGTACCTTAGGAATGACCTCATCCAGTCCCCTCGCTTTGCAGATGATAAGATTGGGACCCAGACAGCTAAAGGGACTTGCCCACGGTGACACATCTTCACAGTGTCAAAGTCTCCAGGCTCCTC